CCCGCCTCGGCCTCCCAAAGTGCTGGGATTACAGGCTTGAGCCACCGCGCCCGGCCCCTGTTTGTTTGTTTTTAAGACTGAGTCTCACTCTGTTGCCCAGGCTGGAGTGCAGTGGCACGATCTCGGCTCACTGCAACCTCCACCTCCCGGGTTCACATGATTTTCCTGCCTCAGCCTCCTGAGTAGCTGAAACTACACTCCTGCATTCTAGGGATACACCCGCCTTGGCCTCCCAAAGTGCTGAGATTACAGGCGTTAGGCACCATGCCCGGCCCATTGACCTATGTAACTTTTAGTGAGATTAATTTGTTGATTTTTTCTCTGTAGTATCCAAACTTACCATGCTTAGATTTCCCCATATCTTAGGCAAGTAAAAATTTGGTTAAGGCTAGGCGTGGTGGCTCACGCCTGTAATCCCAGCACTTTGGGAGGCCGAGGCAGGTGGATCACAAGGTCAGGAGTTCGAGACCAGCCTGAGCAAAATAGTGTGAAACCCTGTCTCTAATAAAAATACAAAGATTAGTCGGGCGTGGTGGCAGATGCCTGTAGTCCCAGCTACTTGGGAGGCTGAGGCAGAATAGCTATCAAAGCAACTAGATGTTAAGTTTTTCATTAAGTCCAGCCTTCTCCCTACCTAGCCTGTATTTTTTCATATTCGGTACAATGCTGGGTGACCCACTAAAAAAAAATTTTTGATTTGTCAAAAGAATTCATGCTAAACAGGATAAATTACAATTAGCATAGAACTAAAATGGTGGACAAAACCTTCATCCTACTGTAGCAATCACCCTCAACCTGCCCTCCTTGGAAATAGCTAAGTTTAGGAAACTGTATAGCACCAGTATCACCACCTGTCAAAATGTACAAAAAATATGCTACACTCATTCATCTAAACTTAAAAATTTCACCCACAGGCTGGGCGCAGTGGCTCATACCTGTAATCCCAGCACTTTGGAAGGCCGAGGTGGGCGGATCACGAGGTCAACAGATGGAGACCATCCTGGCCAACATGATGAAACCGTCTCTACTGAAAATACAAAAAATAGCTGGGTGTGGTGGCACGCGTCTGTGGTCCCAGCTACTCAGGAGGCTGAGGCGGAGGTTGCAGTGAGTCGAGATTGTGCTACTGCACTCCAGCCTGGTGACAGAGCAAGACTCCGTCTCAAAAAATAAAAATAAAAAAATCACCCACAATCCTAAAGTGGTATTTTGAGACAGGATTTCACCGTGTTGGCTAGGCATAAGCCACCATGCCCAGCCCAGAAAATGTTTTGAGACAAGAGTCTTGCTCTGTCACCCAGGCTGGAGTATAGTGGCACCATCTCAGCTCACTACAACCTCCACCTCCCAGGTTCCAGAGATTATCCTGCTTCAGCCACTTCATTAGCTGGATTACAGGTACACGCCACCACACCCAGCTAATTTCTGTAGTTTTAGTAGAGATGGGGTTTCAATACGTTGGCCAAGCTGGTCTCGAACTCTTTACCTCAGGTGATCCACCTGCCTTGGCCTCCCAAAGTGCTGAGATTAGACAGTGAGCCACCTTGCTGGGCCCAGAAAATGTTAACAGCTTTGAATTAGAAATGAGGTACAATGCCCAAGGTTTGGTACCTAGGCAGTAAGGACTGACGAGATCCTGTCCAAGTGTTCGAACACAAAATAGATTTTTAAAATTATAGCCAGGTGGAGTGGCTCGTATCTAATACCAGCACTTGGGGAGGTCAAGGTAAACATTATCACTTGACCCCAGGAGTTCAAGACCAGCTTGGGAAACATGGAGACACATCTCTACAAAACATATATAAATCCACTGGGTGTGATGGCTGAGCTGATCACATAACTGCGCTCCAGCCTGGGTTTTTTTTGTTTGTTTGTTTGTTTGAGACGGAGTTTCACTCGTTACCCAGGCTGGAGTGCAATGGCGCGATCTCGGCTCACCGCAACCTCCGCCTCCTGGGTTCAGGCAATTCTCCTGCCTCAGCCTCCTGAGTAGCTGGGATTACAAGCACGCGCCACCATGCCCAGATAATTTTTTTTTGTATTTTTAGTAGAGACGGGGTTTCACCATGTTGACCAGGATGGTCTCGATCTCTTGACCTGGTG